TTCTCTCTCTCTTTCTCTCTCTCTCCCTCTCTCTCTCTCCCTCTCTCTCCTTCTCATTTATCTCACTTTCTTTCTTCATTCCTTTCTATCTTATAAGAATATACAATGTGTTTAAAACACTAGGAATTGTTGAAAAAATTAATGTTTTTAAATATAAATAGAATTTTATTAAAATAAATTTTATTATTTAAGATTGTTAATATACATGTATGCATGTAACACAATTATAATGTAATACAAATACTGTACAATTATTTTAAATGTGATGTTAAGTCTTTATAGATTTTTAAAAATATATTTCATTTTTGAGTTAATATAATAAAACTCTATTTAATCCATTGAGATTTCAAAGATTAATGTGAAATTTACACGATTTTAAAAGTATTCGTACAATAATTTTACTAATTTCAATGCCATTAAGGGATCACTCAATCTCTTAGCAATGAATTAGGAATTTTCTTTACAATCATTTATTAAACTATTATGTAATCAATAAGAATAATGAATAATAATAATATTTTTTTGTTTATTAGAGAATATAAAACCTTTATATAATTATTTTGTTCACACATTCATTGGAATTTTTATTAATTAATAACATTTAATTGAAATTTAATATTATGAGATATTCAGTAAATAATGATAGCGTGAATAATATAATTAAAAAATCTTGTCATTGCAATAATTAATACTATATTTTCTTGATATTCTTTATGCAAATTCTAAGGTTTCGTTAAACCATTAAAAGAGAATTTAATGATCATTTGATTTAAATGAGAGGCAATGCAAACAATTAGGTAAAGATCTTCTCTAAAAAGTATTAATCAATAGTTTTTTGTTTCCAAAACTCGTAAACCAAATGCCGCTAATATAACTCGTGGAAACACAAATTGGTTTTGAGTGTTTGGTAAGAGTAGTGTATATTTATTTATTGAAAAGTTTTTCATAACAAGTATATAAAAGTTGTGATTTTAGCGGATCTTTAAATTTAATATTTATGTGAAATATTGCTTTCAAATTGAATTTGAAAGAACATCGAGTCTGTGATGCGCTCAACAAATCTTTTATCATTGCATTTGTGTTCATCTTAAACAAGAGATTACGTCTGAATGCATACAAATATTTGTATTCAATATATTCACTATTTTTGGTCAAAAAGTGCTTTCAAACACAAATAATTTAATAGTGAAAGTCATTATATTATAGTTGTATTGAAATCATTAATATAACGGCCAAATGTGTTGTATTTGTAAGACATTTTGTTCAAATTCTCCATTTACTATATATTTAGCGCTGAATAAATATAGATAATGCAATTAGTAGTTCACTATAAGTTAGTATTAACTATAAAAACCCGATACAAATACACACGACATGCAATAATGTGTAGTCTATATTGAAATAAGTTTAGGAAAATGCACTTGGACGAATTGCAATGAGCACCAGAATTGCATTAATAAGTATAAATAGTTGTATAACTGATTGTGTAAACATTAAGACTCAACAAAAATTGAAAACTAATCTCTTAGAATTGAAACCAATTCTTTGTGCAAACCTTTTTACCTTATTATATGATCTTTCCATACAGTATATGATTTGATATTTTTTCTTTGCCTCAAATTTGTTTTCTCAAACATTTTTAAAATTAAATATTTTATATTAAACCAAATAATCATCAAAAATACTATAATAATAATAAATAAAAGTTAAGCCTATGCTATGAGAGTCTTGAGTTTATTTTGCAAACTCTTGAGTTTATTATCGTTAAAATAGCCCTTATTTGCTAAGAGGACTAAATTGACTTCTCTTTAACATCTTGTTTGACATTAAACAAGAAGATTGAATCGCTTCTTGAGTTGAAGTAATCATTTTATTTTATATAATACTCTCTATATATTTGTTTAAAATGTACTCAATATTTATATACATGTATAACAACACAATGCAAATATCATTACTTTAATTATAAAATGCACATTAATTAACTATAATAAACTGAATTTGTGTTAATTTATAAGATTGAATGCCCACTGAACTAGTTTGAAGAATCTTTATTTAGATTGAATGTTAAATTTCAATAATTAATTATTATTTTCTTATGAAATGAGAAGTGAGGAGAAGAAGAGAATGAGAAGATAGAGAATGAATGTTCACAATAATCTCAACATAGAGTCCAAATCAAATGCACTGATATATGATTGTCCAAAAGTTCAACGACTCAACTGTCCTAACATTACCAGAGATTCGCCAACTGATCCGTCAAACTGTCATAACATGATTGTCGCTATTAAAAGACCCAACTCTACGATTGGGATTCCCAACAGTACTATTGAACCCATGTTTTATACGGCCGACGAGTTTAAGCCAACCACCCGTGAAAAGGCTACTTCCCTCACACTCGACCCAAAGACATATCCAAACAGTCAATCAAACACTCCCAACGGTATGTCAAATATCATATTTTTTGTATATTATGCTAATTATGATATGCATCATGTACGTGTATATGTTATTTTGTAAATTATTTAATCATATAATCTGTATAAACGAGTTTCACATTTTAATTAAAGAGAATTTGTTTTGGAATATATTCTTAGAAATAATTATCCAAACTCTTGAAATCCATTAAATTTGAATAATATTACGATTCTTTCAATTAGAGAAGCGATTTATATACCAAACATTTATAGGATAAATGAAAGTATGTTATATTCGTCTCTTGTTTAATGATTTTGTGATTTATATTTTAATTTTTATTTCATGCAAATAATTAACAATTTTGTTAAATAAGTTAAATTATAAGAAATATAAATATTTTGTTAAAGAATTTCTGCTAAAACGGAAAGCATTATCGTAAATATTCAAATGAAATTAAAAATAATTAGCTCATAATATAAGTAAGAAATTTGATAACAAATGTTTAAATATTGTTTTCTTGCCTAAAGGTATCAAATATACTTTATTTTGTTAAATACCGATAATATGTTATGTAATATGAGTTCACAATAAGGTTTTGTTGTTTTGTTATTATATTTCTCTTTCAATTTAATTAATATTTAGCCATAAATATGAAAAATAATTTATTTTAATTATTTTCTACATTGTTTATATCATTTGAATTAACAATTCATAGAAAATCTTATCTATTACTGGCAGTAATGAAAGTTTTTTATTTTGATTTTTGAATAATATCTCAAATTTAGACATTGCAATACTGAAATTGCAATCATATTAAGAAATGACATTAATTAAGATTAGTTTACATTCTATTGTGAAGATATCTCTTTGTTTTGAAACTGAAGTTTAGTGTTTAGAAAATGTATTCGTTTCTCAAAACTACTGATAAACTCACAAACTTCTCAATTCTCTCGAGAATCGCAATAATTGGAAATTTAATGTAAATTCTTGATACACTTCTATGAGCTTTAATGACAGGATTTTATTTTTCATGGTTTTTGGGAAGAAAACATTTAAATATTTAAAATTCTTACAATGACTGCAAAGAATATGTTTAAATATATGAATGGAGAATATTGTTGACTACAGGTTCTCCGCGTACATCTCCGCGAACGTCAATCATATTGAATGGAAATATATTGAGTTCACTCTCACCGATACCTCCCATCAGACCTCCCGCTCCCTTTTCATCCAAAACCCATATATATGACAATCATTTGAGTGGTA